AAGACAGACAAGAAATAGCCTGGGATATCTATGATAAGACCCTACATCAGAGAGAGAGAGAGAGAGAGAGAGAGAGAGAGAGAGAATAATAGAGAAATGGGCATATGTGTCACTGCCTGTCCTCAAATTAAATTTTATTTTCAACTTGATACAATTTAGAGTCAACAGGGAAGAAAGGCCCTCAACTGAAGAAGTGCTTTGGTCAAACTGGACCATTCCTTGAGAGACTGTGTAGACTGATACTTGATGTGGGAGGGCACAGCCAAACGTGGGCAGCACAATCCCTAGGCAGGTGGGGCTGTGATATAAGAAAACCAGCTAAGCAGGAGCCTGTAAGCAGTGTTCCTCTGTGGTTTCTGCTGCAGTTCCTGCCCAAGCTCCTGTCCCAGTTTTCCTCAATGACTCTGGAACTGGGACTGTGACCTGGAAGTGGAAGCCAAATAAGTGCCCCCCCCAAGTTGCTTTTGGCCAGAGTTATTTTATCATAGCAACAGAAAGAAAATGAACACTGCCTCATACTTGGCTTACATGATATTTTTTGTTTTGTTGTTTTGTTTTAGAGACAGTTTTTTTTTTTTTCTATGTAGCCTTGGCTGTCCTAGAACTCAATTTGTAGACCAGACTGTCCTCGAACTCACAGAGATCTTCCTTCCTCTGCCTTCTGAGTGCTGGAATTAAAGGGTAAACCTTGACAAGGCTCACCCATGTTTCCAGGTTACATCCTCAGGGTAAAATAGAGAGAATTTTTTAAAATCAGCAGGAAGCCCATCCAGCTGAATAAAATTAGTTACCACATGGCCAGACAGGAATTGACATCAACTCTAAGTCAAGGGAAAGAATAGATGAAATATGAGAATCCGCCAAGATGTGTGTAAAATGAGGGTGGAGACCTGCAGGGTTGTTCAACAGTTCTAAATGCAGTCATGCTGTCAGGGTAACAAGCCTCTGTGGCTTCCTGGAGGAGATAGTGTTTGGCAAGTTCAGGGGAGAAAGGGCTTCCATCAGGAGATGCAAGCTAAAATATCACTTAATGCCAGCAAAATGTCCTGTCCAGGGACACTGGCTAGTTCCTATAGAATCACAACAACACAAAGAGTACCCAAGATCACCACTGTTCATCATTCTGCCCTCTTCTCATCACTCAGAATGGCTAACACATTTTTTTCTTCTTCCAATAACCTCCTTATTGTTGTCCTAGCCCCAAATTTTCCTGTACAAAATCTAATCCTTGACATGTTTGAATGTATCCTCTAGGACTGTATGGTTGAATGCTTAGTCATCAGGGAGTGGTGCTATTTGAAAGGATTAGAAGGATTAGGAGCCTTATTGGGGTAAGTGTGGCCTTGTTGGAGGAAGTATGTCACGGTGGGTGGGGAGGGCTTTGGGGTTTCAAAAACCCATGCCAGTCTCTCTACTGATCAGAACAGAGCTCTTAGCTACTGTTTCAAAGCCTGTCTGCATGCTGCTGTGCTTGCCATCATGATGGTCATGGACTAAACCTCTGAAACTGTAGGCCAGGCCCAATTCAGTGCCTTATTTTTATGAGTTGCCTTGATCATGGTGTCTCTTTTCAACAATAGATGAGCGACTAAAACAGAAATTGATACCAACGGCATGTAGTTTACTACCCATATTGTTTTATAGTCAAAATAATTAGAAATAACTGAATGACTACTGTCAACCTAACACATTGCCATTTGTGTGGAGGGAAATGAAATTTCTGTCAGTTTTGTATGGTTCAGCTTAAGGTTCACATTTATGGCTTTATGTTATTTATACTAGATCATCTCATTTAATCCCCACAATAGCCATGTAAAATGATCCTAATTTTATACATAGGCAAAGTGAGATTTGGAAATTTTAAATAATTTACATAGCATTTGACAGGCTCATGGGCTTACTAAGTAGCAATAAACTGGTCTCTACTTCTCGTTCCCCTGCCTCCTGGGATAGCAGGCATGAAAAATCATGCCTAGCCACCTTCTGTCTTTTGTTTCTGCCTTTGAGACAGTCTTACTGTATAGCTTGTATTGGCCTCAAAGTCTCCTATGTAGCCCAGACTGGCCTCAAATAATAATCTTTGTTCTTTAGCTCCTTGAGTTCTAGAATTACCACCATCCGAACCACACATATTTTCCTCCATTTTTTTTGGTAATAACATATATCTTTGTGTTGGTAGATTATCCTGCTTTCTGGAACCGTCCTGAACATGTTGGCATCCTTCCTACAGGAGTTTGATTCTTGGCACCCATATCAAGTGTTCACAACTGCCTGTAACTCCAGCTCCATGGTATCCAACTCCCTCTCTGTCCTCTATGGGGCACCAGCACACACATGCACAGACATGCATGCAGATATATACATTAAACAAAAATAAAATAAATATTTTTTTAAGAAGCCAAAATATCTAACTGTAGGGACTTATTTGTCTCTCAGGGGCATAGATGAATATCCTCAGTATTTTTAATTTTCACAATTTCAGGGGACTCGTCTGGTATTTAGTAGTTGGAAACTAAAGTAGGTATCTTTGGTGTATAGGACAGCCTCCTTCAATGAAGAATTAGGAACCCTTGCTGTTGAGATGCTGCCACAGCACAGAGGAGTATTCTGCAGTCATTATAGTAAACAAAAAGTACCTTTGAAAGACATTCATGATACTCAGAAAAGATAGAAAAAAAAAAAACATGTTACAATCTGGTATGAGTAAGCATTCTAAAAATCTTTAAATATGCAAAAAGTTTTAATTTTGATTTTCTTTCTTTTGTCTTCCCATATTTTCTAAAGTTTAGTAGTCAAGAACATGTAAAACTTATAAATAAAAACTTTTTACAAATGCTGAACATCAAGGATGTGCCAGATGACCCTGGAAAACCTAGGGAACAAACCCTGAGAGCTCTTGGCCCTCATCTTCCAGTGCAGTGAAGTCAGAGTCCAGTGGGGACGACAAGAGAGAGAAACCAAGAGAACTTCTGGAAGGAATAAACACAATAAACGGAACAGAATGGGATGACAGGCGGGAACCGGAGAAAGGCAATGTGGTGCTTCCTTGGGCTAAGATAACAAGACATGGTGAGCGATACTAAAACCCTACAGTCTGCAGACTGGATAAAACTGGGAAAGAACATTTGAACAGGTTGTTCCTGTGGGTTATGGTGTCTGGTTTGAAGACATTCAGATTGTCAAATGGACTGTCAGAGTAGGGGGCACCCTTTTCTTTTCCTCTTTAAAAACATTAATAGATAAGTAAACTGTGGCTTGTTCATCCCATTAATAGAACGCTGAAGAGTAACGAGAATGAATGAACTACTATCACACGTGGCGATACAGATGAAAATCACAAAAATGCTGAACTGAGAATTTTGGGAAGCTAACCTGTGCAAAAGTCACAGTGTTTACCACTGGGTGGAAAGGAGCACCTTTGTACATAGTACTAAAAGGGTGCAATGCCCCCAAGAATTTATTACACTCCACAACGAAGGAAGTAATCTGCTTTACAATAAAGTCCCTTTACAAAGTTCAAAGGGCCTGCAACTGTTTATAGTCACGCATTCCACAGGGTTTATAAGACACTGTTCACAGCGCATGACTGTCATGGAACCAAAAATGAGGTTCAGCCAGAAAAGGAATGCTTTTTCCTACCACCTTTCATGCAGGAGAGGCACATTGACAAGAATTCTGGTGGTTCTAGAGTCTCTGGAGTTGATGGCCCACAAACTGTGCTCTTCTGATTAACAACCCAAGGAAGCACAGGCTAGAGTCAGAAAAAGCACATTAAAGCACTAGAAGAAAGATCAAATTGAACAGAAATAGACTTTTAAAGGTGAGCCTCTCTGGAAAGGAACACAACTACACTGTTAACCACAGGTTACCTCTGAGCAGTTAGGATTACATGTGATTTTAATTGTCCTTTTGCATTATTTCCTACAGGGAGCATGTGCTGTTTTTTGTAATAAAAGAATAACTATTGAAGGTGTGTTGTTTTTTTATACAAGGGCCCTTAGAATACTAAAATTAGAACATCATTAAAAATCCAAACCCAAGAAAGACTTGTGTGCAGAAATTATGAAATCAGGGCCAAGAAGTGGTTAGACCATAATATACCTGTGTACATTGATTCAAGCAGCCTGGCAACAACCATGGCAACTGAAGTCCCACACTTGGGAGACTTAGGGAAAAGGGGAATGAGTGTGGGGTGGTTAGCTTTATTTGTCAAATCAACATGATCTAGAGCCACCTGGGAAGACTGTCTTAGTGAAGCTCATCCACACTGGATTGACCTGTGGCATATCTTTTTGGGGAGTTATTTTAATTACAAGAAACGATGTAGAAGACAGCCTACTTTAGGCAACACTATTCCCTAGGCAGGGGTTCTGAACTGCAGGAGAACAGATAAATTAAGCCAAGCACAAGCAAGCCAACAATTATTGGTGAATTCATCCTCTCTCTGCTCTGGATTGTGGATGTGATGAGACCGGTTGTCTCAAGCTCCTGCTGATATAGCCCTCCAACCCCTCCCCCCAAGTGATGTCTTCTGATTGTCCAAGAAGTCAAACAAATCTCCTAAAGAGTGATTATCAGGCATTGATGTCACAGGTCCAAAGAAAGCCACTGAAGGCAGAGAGGACACATTTGCAGGTAGACAGTAGGCTGCCTTCCTGGTGCCTGCTGCATCCTCTGTACGGGGGATGTGCAGTGTGGATGTCTCTCCCCTCCACTCTTATCAGACCAGGGTGAAAAGGAGCCACAGCTGCTCTCTCTCACAGGCCCCGGTGGCATCTGGAACATGCTGATCCTCATCATTCTTACTCTCAGGAAGCATTAATAACTTAATCCCTCAGCTTGCTCCTGCTCCTGTGTGGCCTCCTCAGTGAGATTTACAGACAGGACCCAGAGAAGGGCAGATTGAGGCGGGACACATCGGACTCAATTTGCTGGGAAACTGCCCTGGAAAGGCTGGAGCCTGAGCCCCTCCTTGGGAAAAGTTATAAGGAGTTCCAGCCATGGGTGAGGTGACAGCAGAGGAGGTGGAAAAGTTCCTGGACTCAAATATTGGCTTTGCCAAAAAATACTATAATTTTCACTACCGGGGGAAGGTCATTTCAGAGCTCCTTGGGGCCAAGGAGGCAGCAGTGGACTTTAGCAACTACCACGATGTGAATAGTGTGGAGGAGAGTGAAATCATCTTTGACCTTCTGCGGGACTTCCAGGAGAATTTGCAGGCTGAGAAATGCACATTCAACGTCATGAAGAAGCTCTGCTTCCTCCTGCGGGCTGACCGCATGAGCCTGTTCATGTATAGGGCCCGCAATGGCATCGCGGAGCTAGCCACCAGGCTCTTCAATGTCCACAAGGATGCTGTCCTGGAGGACTGCTTGGTGATGCCTGACTCTGAGATCGTCTTCCCTCTGGACATGGGTGTCGTGGGCCATGTCGCACACTCCAAAAAGCTTGCCAATGTCCCCAACACAGAAGAGGTATGCTCTACCCGAAAGAGAGATATACATGGGGATATAAGGCTTCCTAGGGTCTGGGGTCCACGTGGGTTGGGTTGCTGCTGGCCACTAAGCCTGGGCTGGTCACAGCATGAGACCACTCTCTATTTATTGACAATTCCTAGAATATTTTATTTAGAAAAAAATATTCAAAACTGGCAGGAATTTAAAATACTATAAAAGAAATGTATATCTTTCACTCACATTTGCCAATTATTAACATCTTACCTCGTCACATCTCCTCTTTATATTTTTGTGACCTACTAGAAGGAAGTTGCAGACACACCCTTTTGTCCATGCCTTCTGTCTATATTTCTAGAGCAGGACATTTCTTCCATATCCACAGGAGATGGTGGAATTTGGGGTGCATAACATTCACACAACACCATCACCTAACAGTTCATAATCAGCATTTTCCAGCTGTCTCATGTACACTACTGTAGTCCTGCCTCTTTAGCCCACTCCCATCAGAGGCCATTCCTCAGTCTGTCTTTGTTTTCTGGAAAGCTGGTGTATTTGAAGAAATATTTTATGGCAAGTTAGACAAATCCACAAATATTCTACAGAAATCCTTCCATTTCGGCTTATCTAACCCACCACTACCTTTCTCTCTGTCATATATTTGCCAGAGTGTAGAGTGTTTGTTAGATCAAATTTACTATTCTCTGTGTGAGGAGGAAGGAAAGGAGACAGAGAGAGAGAGAGAGAGACAGAGAGACTCATTTGGCATCCCAGGCTGGCCTAGAAGTCCCTGCATAGGCCAGGCTGGCCTCCAACTCTTAGCAATCCTCATGTCTCAGCTCCCTGAGTTCTGGGATTATAGGCATGAGCTACCATGCCTGGTTGTCTGACATACCTTCATAATTAGACTGGGTTTCAAGCTAATTGAATAGGGTTGGGGTTAGGGCTATTAGATTGGGTTTTTGCAGAAGCATTACTAAGGCAATATTATTTTTCTTCGTATTTTATACCAGGAAACATGGAGCCGATTGTTCCATTACTGAAAATGTTAACATTGATAACTTGTTCATTCTCCTAAAAATCTAACAGTCTAGAGAATCACTGAGAGTTCTAAGCCAGCATGAGCTACGAAGTCAAGTCTCAGGCCAGGCTGGGCTACAGAGTGACCAGCTCTAGGCAGAGAAAAATGAGGCCAATCTCCCTGTGTGTCTACTTGGCAACCAGGACTAAGGCATTTGGGAGGAGTCTTGCTGGATACAGTTTGTCTCTTTTCACTTATCTCCAAGCTTTGGCACGTTCTTCCTCCACACAGTGTTATGCAATATCTCATTTGGCCTTGCAGATGAGAACATAGAAACTCTTGCTCAGGGTTACACAGGTGTAAAGTACAGATGGAATTTAAACTCAGGTACTCTGGCCTTGAGTCCATGTCACTTAACCCTCTGCCACTTCCTGAGAACATACATAGCTGTGGCAAATCATTTAGCCTATGCTTCTTAATTTATAAAACATTGATAGCACTCTTTTTTTTTTTTTTTTGCCTCCTACATGTTGGAATTACAACTGGGCTATCATACCTAAGCAGCTTTTTAGGTACTGGGACTATTGATTCTGGATCCAGACTTGTACGATAGATACTTTGCCCTCTGAGCTGTTTCTCCAGCCTCCTGACACAATGCCTATATGAGTAGTTTCTGTTCCTTATTACAATCTCATGGCTGTTAGTAAGGCTCTAATCTAAGTGACAGATCCACACCACATCTTTGTGGACTATGGAAGAGAATCTAACCTTGCCCATCTGGCGCTGAGCCCCTCAGAGGCCTTGGGGTTGTGGAACTGAGGATTTGAGAAGGTCCTCTGATTCCATAAGATCTAGGGCTAACAGTGTGATGAGCCTCTGTGCTGACCTGTTATTTTCTGTTCAGCTCTCAAAGTTCATCTTTGCAGCCACACCCATCCTTTCCCTTTGGATTTGGGGCAGTGTCCCTGCCTATGCGTGACTCAGGCCTGCATGTAAATTCATCCAAGACAAGGAGGTTCTGCGTGATCAGCATTTGCATGTTGTTTGCTGCTATTTTCCTTGGGAAATCTCACTCAGTTCTAGGCTCTGAGTAAGACATGATCTTTCAATAGAAATTCAAACTAGAAGTTAAGTGGAGGAGATGATGGTGTGGACTGGGGTCTGAGTTGTTTCTGGATATCTATAAAGTTATATTTTTGAGATTTCAGTGCCCTAAAAAGTCTGGGAATGCTTACAGTCATTGCATTATTGGGGTGTAATGCTACAGACTCATTTTCCTGGGGCTCACCTGCACTTTTGCACCCCTGAAAAATCCCTGCTGATCCTTGTGCTCTTCATGAAAGACTTGAGATCAGCATTGCCAAGTAAAATGGAAGATGATCAGCTAAGTCTGGATTTTAAATAAACAAAGAATAAAGTTTTAGTATAAGTATGTTCCATGAAATATTTAAGATATGCTTACAACTAAAAATAATTATTTATCATATACCTGAAATTCAGATTTAACTTGACATCCTGTTTCTGTTGTTGATGGTATGTTGTTGTTGTTGATAGCCAGCATTAATCTGTAGCAGTCTTATAGCATTCGAGGGATATTTTAATTTTCTTGCTTCTCCTGAGACTTGTTTTGTGTCCCATTATATGCTCAGTTTTGGAGACAGTTCCATGAGGTGTGAAGAAGAAGGTATATTCTTTTTTTTAAAGATTTATTTATTTATTATATATACAATGTTCTGCCTGCATGTACACCTGCATGCAAGAAGGCTTCAGATCTCATTATACATAGTTGTGAGTCATCATGTGGTTGCTGGGAATTGAACTCAGGATCTCTGGAGGAGCAGCCAGTACTCTTAACCTCTGAGCCATCTCTCCAGCCCAGAAGGTATATTCTTTTGTGTTTGGGTGAAATGTTTTGTAAATATGTTAGGTCCATTTAGTTCATTGTGTCACTTAGCTCCAGTATTTCTCTGTTTAGTTTTTGCCTAGATGGCTTGTCTATTGGAAAGAGTTTGGTATTGGAGTCTCCCACCCCATGAGGTTGCTGTCCCCATCTCTTTTCTTTCCTGCTTGTGCCTGACACCTCGTCCAGCGCCTGGGGTAGAGTAGAACACTCACCCAATTAATGAGTGAGTGAACAATGATCAGCCATCCTTCTTCAGCACCAATTCCATTTCTGAAGGCTGAACCTATGACTTCAGGCCTGAAGAGACCGTCACAGCTGAGAGAAGGGTCCCAGGGAGCCTCTCAGGTCTACTCTGCCTCTGTTCTTTCCTTTCTGGAGACTCATGCTTGGCCTACTAGACAGGAGAGAAATCTCAAGGAATACCTAAACCATCACTCTGATTTCACTGCAGGGAAAACCGAGGCAGTACACTAAATAACTACTGAAGCCAATCACGGGCAAGCTTCTCCATCTTGGGGCCCACCCTATGATCAGGGATTGATTCACATTGTAGTTTGAACTGGAGGTTCATATTTAGCATGATATCCCACCATGCTGTGAGTACCGAGAAAGAGCAACCTCATTTTACTGGTTGTCTTAGTTCCTTTTCCTGTTGCTGTGTAAAAATACCCTGACAAAAGCAACTTAAAGGAGAAAGGGTTTATGCTCTCTCACAGCCAAGGTTACAGTCTATCTTGGTAGGGAAGTCAAGGCAGGGAGCAGTTGGAAGCAGCTGGTCACAAAACATTCGTAGTCATGAAGCAGAGAATGATAAATGGATATGTGATGCTCAATGTTCTTTCTCCACTTACATAGTCCAGGATCCCAGCCAAGGAATAGTGCCACCCACAGTGAACAGGTCTTCCCATCTTAATTAGCAATAAAAATAACTCCCCACAGGTTTTGACATATCCAGTGCATAACACACAGCCAAGGCTCAATAAATAAAAATGAATGAATGAGTCAGCCAAGTAATCAATGAATAAATCAACAGATAATGAATGGGTAGAACAGCTGTGCTACTCATCAGCAAGGGATTTCCCCATGAATGAGAAGGGACAGCTCTGTTTGGCAGATTTGATAATGTGTGTAAGTTGTCTGGCTCTTAGCAGCATTCAGTAAGCAACAGATTCTATAAACAGATCCCAGCATGAGTCCAAGAGCATTCAGCATTAAGTGCTTGAAAGGAGGGACTGAGGAATAGGGAATGAGAAGCAGAATTTCACTTCACTTTAAATCTAGGCATGAGGGTATATACCTGAAATCCCAGCACTCAGGAGGCCACACTGGGCTATGGAGTAAGTTCTAAGCCAGTTGCATTATGTAGAAACTCTGTTACACAACAAACCAAGGAATAAATGAATGAATGAAATTCTGAGGCTCATATCTCCAACTTTGTGCCCTCCATTCTTCTCCTCCTTCCCAATACTTTAGATGCACAGATCTTTTCTTCAAGTCTTCTTAGTTAGGGTTTTATTGCTATGAAGAGACACCATGACCACAACAACTCTTATAAAGGAAAGCATTTAATTGGAGTTGGCTTACAGTTTAGAGGTTTAGTCCATTATCATCATAGCAGGAAACATGGCGGCACACAGGCAGACTTGGTGCTGAAGAAGGAGCTGAGAGTTCTACATCTGGACCTTCAGGCAGCAAGGAAAGACTGAGACACACTTCCTTCAACAATGCCACACCCACTCCAAAAGGGCCACACCTCCTAATAGTGCCACTTCCTATGGGACTACGAGGGCCATTTTTGTTCAAACTACCACATCTTCCAAGTCCATATCCAGCTCTAGGACTTTGTAGTCATTATGTCTCTCCTAGGAATGAATGCACACCCTTTGCCTCAGGCTCCCAGCTCAGAGCTCCAGGGTAGCCTTCCTGGTTCCCATTCAAACCCAAGCAGCTTCAGCCTGCCACCCTCCCCAGCAACTCCCCAATCCCATCCCTACTGGTAGGATATTCCTGGTTTATTCCTTCAGAGCAGATTATCGCAGGCTGCAGGGAGAGTGCTGAACTGTTTTCTTTTTTCTTTTTCTGTCTCCTCTAACTGTATGTTTTATGACGATGAAAGTCTGTTGTTTTCTGCTATAGCCCCAGGGTTCAGAGCAGCCCCTCACCCAGAAAACATTCTGCCAATCCTGCCTGGATGAATGATGACTGGGACCTTCCTTATCCATGTCTCTTGTGCCTGAGCTTTAAAATCAATGGTTTGGGGCCAAGGAGATTGCTCAGTAGATCAGAGAGCTTGCTGAAAAACATGAAGACTTGAATTCAAATCCCTAGCATCCATACACACACAAAACGGTCAGCTATGGCTATCTGTGCCTACAGCCTTAGCACTGGGGGGGGGGGGAGAGACAGAGGACACGCATATCCCTAAGACTCAGTGACCAACCTAGCCAAACTGACTGGCTCTAAGTTCAATGGGAGACCTTGTCTCAAGATGTTCTCTTTTGGCTTCCACTTCAATCCAGCACAGACACACACAGACACACAGACACACAGACACACACACACACACACACACACATGCTCACTCACTCACTCACTCATGCTAGTTTGGGGGTATTTGTTATGGTATGGATACAGGGATGACAAAGCTTGTGTAGACTCCAGTCATTTGGGAGCTGGAGTGTTCACAAGGAGTTCCTTGGCTGAGAACTCTCGCAGTGTGTGTGACAGTTAAAAGAGTCCACGTGACAGGATCTCAACTCACCTCACAGACAGACCTCTGGGCGTGTCGGTGAGGGAGTATTTTGATCAGCTTAACCGAGGTAGGAAGGCCCACCATAGATGTGGGCAGCGCCATTGCCATGGGCAGAGGTTCCAGATGGTATAAAAAGGAGAACGCAAACAGAACGTTGCCGTTTTTTCCTCTCTGCTTGCTGCAGTGTGATCCGCCTCATATTCTTGCCAACGCAAGGTCCCCTCAAACTGGGAGCCAAAATAAGCCCTCTCTCCCTGAAGTTGAATTTATCAGGTATTTGAACACAGCAATGAGAAAAGCGACTAATACACTGGAAAAGAGGGTTCTGGTAGATTTAGAGATATATCTTAGAGCAGGTGGGGGCCACAGTACTGGCTTTCCTTGATGAAGGTAAATATTGCAAAGCTGAACTGACTGAAATGAATCTGAGCATGCCTGACGCTGTGCTCAGGAACTCAGCAGTGTCCTCCGAGAATGTCACGGCGAACTCTCCTTGGCTGAGGCTGCCTTCTAGCTTTTTCTAATCCCCAAATGCTAATCCAAGTGGAACACGACTAGCTTATCATAATTCCTTTACCCTTCACCTATTTGAGCCAAGTTCCCTGACCTTACACCACTGCCTATTTGTCTAACCTTACTCTATCTGGAGAGAAATCTTGAAATACAGAGCATCACCCCAGGAATCTGAGCCGAAGGGAAAGTTCTGCCACCTTAGCTCTAGAAAAGTTCAATGAATTGCCTCTGTAGATGAATCATCCTTCTCAGAACAGTACGCACTGTACATGTTTGGGCTGGCTCATGTCCCATGTACATGGCAGTCAGGAAATTTACCATGGTACGGGAGACAGAAAGGTGGCTTCTCTTGACTACAAACAATCCAGCCTCTGTCTCCTCCTCCTGACCACATAGACAGTATCAAAGCCTCTAAAGATTTGCCAGGCTGCCTTTGGGACTGGGAGTCAGGATGTGTGGACCTCTGTGTTCTACAGTTTTCAGTTACGCCTTTACAGCCCGTGCTACTGTATTAACTTCTTTTTGTACTACTATAACCAAATACCTGACAAACAACAGAAGGGGGCCACTGGGATGGTTCAGCGGCAACCCGAGTCTGATCCCCAGAACCCACGGCAAGGTGGAAAGGGAGAAATTACTGTACAAAGCTATCCTCTGATTGCCGCACAAGTACTGGCACACATCCCTCACCACAAACATCATGCCTCTCCCATAACGATAATAAGTAATAGTTTTGACTGGAGAAAAGAAAGATTGTTTTGGCTCATAGTTTGGGGCTAGTAGTACGGTATGGGGAAGGTGCGAAGGGACAGAGCGGTTTGTATGGCACTGCTTGAGCAGAGGAAGAGAATGTCCTGGGTTGGCTTTCCCCACTCCGCTGCCTACTCCAGGTGGTCCACCAGCCCGTGGGATAGTGCCACCTACAGCCAGGGCCGTTTTCCCACTTTGGCAATCCTCTATGGAAAGTTCCTCACAAACAAACCTCACACAGATTTCTTTCACTACTTTCCTAGGTACTTCTCAACCCAAGCAAGATGACAATCAAAATTACTGTTAGTGATTCATCAGTGAGAAGCTTGACTCTTAGCCACTTGGTATAGACATATAGTGGAACTGTAATACAGATTTGTAGGATCAGGATGGCCACTGGAATGACCATGTAGACGGTAACCAGCTTCTTATAAGGGGTGAAAATCTATGCCTGTGATTTCAGCCTTCGTGGAAGGCTGGGGCAGTAGGATTGAGAGTTCAAGGCTGGCTTGGACTACATAGCAAGCCTGTGTCTAAATAAATAAATAAATAGATAGATAGATACATAGATAAATAAATAATAAATAAATGAGGGGCTGAAAATAGCAAAGCCTTTTGTTCAGTGAGGTGAACCACAGTGTAACTTCTCTGAGGCTTATGTGAGCAGGGCAGAGCTGAGGACAGGTCCAAAATGCTCACAAGGCATCTTAACTTTGAGTTGAAGATCCCCTTTCTATGAGATAGGCTATTGGTCCCTCTCTCATAGGTTGTTGGGAGGATGAAGATGAAGGGATGAGGTGCAGTGCCATGTGTGAGGCCCACTGGCAGTCATCATGGTCATGTCCCTCACCCCCTCAACGCTCCTATTTGAGTTTCCACCTTGGGCTTTAATGACATGATGTGCTGGTCCTCTACAGTCCTTGGTGGGGTACCTCTCAGACCTTCTGATGGATGTTGGAGGTTACATGGTCACCCTGCCCTGGCTAGAGGTCTGAGATGCCTTCATCCCCTTGTCAGTGGGATATCTGAAATGGCCTCCTGTCCTTGTATTCATTTGCCTCTCTCTGCTTGAACTCTTCCTTCTTTCAGGATGAGCATTTCTGTGACTTTGTGGACAATCTCACAGAGTATCAGACCAAGAGCATCCTGGCTTCCCCCGTCATGAATGGGAAGGACGTGGTAGCCATAATCATGGCTGTGAATAAAGTAGATGGACCCCACTTCACCAAGAAAGATGAAGAGGTAAGATTGCTTGAGATACTGCTGAGGAGGATGTGCTAAACCCATTCTTCCAGATCATGGCGTTGCCCAACTTTTCTGTTTGGCTTGGCTTTGCATTCCCCATATATAAGGCATGATGGAGGAAAGCATGGCAGCATGAAGGTAGAGAGCCAGTGGCCTGCCTTGAGCTTCTGAAATCTCAAAGCCCAACCCCAGTCACACAGTTCCTTCAATAAGACCACACTTACTCCAACAAGGCCACATGCACCATCCTTTCAAATAATGTCACTCCCTATGAGTCTATGAGGGTCATTTTCATTCAAACCACCTAAATATTTTTTTTGGAACGTGGGGGTGATTTCACAGTGACTTATAATGAACAGGGGACATACCCCAGTGACTTATCACAGAGACATCAAGTTCAATAAATACTAGCTATTTTTATTACACTCTCATTAACAAGTCACCAAGCACTGTGACTTTTCATTCACAATGTTGTCACAAATGAGGCATCTGCATTTCATGCTGTGCAAGTTGTAATGGCTGGCAGATGTTTGCTGATGCAGAAGTAGCCAGAAGAAGAATCCTTCCTTCCTTCTCATCTGCTTCCCTCATGTTGTTTGAATCTGTAGATTCTTCTCAAGTACCTCAGCTTTGTGAACCTGCTCATGAAGGTATTCCACCTGAGTTACCTGTACAACTGTGAGACCCGACGTGGCCAGGTAAGTGGCCTGGCTCCAGAGAGGGGACTGAGCATGTCCTCTACTGAAGTTTAGATGGGGCCAGGGCAGCTGGTGTGAAGGTGCTGGGAACCCCTGAGCTGTGCGTGGTGGGAGTCCCTGGTATTGGGAAGTGATGGGAATTGCTGAGCTGTCCCTGGTATTGGGAAGTGGTGAATGCTTGGAAGGCTGTCTCCTGGAATGATTACACTTGGATTTGGACACTGGCTCACTAAGGAGCTTTCAGGCCCTAACCAAGTTGCTCAGCCTCTCTAGCAGTGTGGATATGTAAGATGGGCCTGGTGGTCATTCCAGCACTCAGGAGGTGGAGGCAGGAGGATCAGAAATTCAAGGTCAGCTTCAGTGACATAGCTAATTTAAGGCCAGACTGGGCTATGCAAGACCTGCTCAAAACAGACAGAACAAAACATGAGGATAATTGTACACACATACGTGCATGAGTATATATATATATACATATATATATGTTGATATATATCGATATATATTGATATATATCGATATATATATCAAAGATTGTTATCAAAATAAATAAGTTAAAATATGTAGGGTACTTATGTTCAACTGCTTGTTATTATTATTTTTGCTTGTTTTTCGAGACAGGGTTTCTCTGTGTAGCCTTGGCTGTCCTAGACTCACTTTGTAGACCAGGCTGGTCTCTAACTCACAGAGATCCACCTGCCTCTGCCTCCCCGAGTGCTGGGATTACAGGCATGCACCACCACTCCCGGCTTGCTTGTTATTATTTTATTTTATGGTTTGTTTTTTGAAGTGATGGATATGTACATGCAAGGCAAGCACCCTCCTACTGACCTGCATTCCTAAACCCTGTAACTGCTATTTTTTTAATAACATGAGAATAAAATAAATGGAAAGAGTTGGGCCCAATGTAAGCCAGCCGATCACAGCACCTCTCCAAGTCTCAGTTTTTCTACCTATAAAATGGGGGAATGAACCTGTTATCTGGGTTATTGTGAGAGTTAAATGGAATGAAGTAGAAAACTTCACAGAATTGTTATTATTTTCTAAGAAACTTCTACTTTGAACTTCAAAAACTCTGATTATTATTTTTTCCAATGTCTTCAGATATTGCTGTGGTCTGGGAGCAAAGTCTTCGAAGAGCTCACGGATATAGAGAGACAGTTCCACAAAGCCTTGTACACAGTCCGAGCTTTTCTTAACTGTGACAGATACTCTGTAGGCCTCTTAGACATGACCAAACAAAAGGTAAGAAAACCTCAAGGACAGGCCTTTCTAAGAAACACGTGGTGCTTGAGTACAGTCTAGTCAAGAGTTCAACTAACAGGACACAGTCTGGGTGAACCTGGATGGCTGTGAAAGGATTTACATAAGGGGTAGGGAAATAGCTCAGTCAGTAACATCATTGCCTCAAAACTATGAGTTTAACTCCAGAACTGATGTTAAAGGCAAGTGCCAGGCATAGCACAGGTGTAGAGGTCAGAGGACAACTTTTGGAAGTCAGTTCTCTTCTACCATGAGTTCTGGGCATTGAACTCGGGTCGTCAGGCTCACACTGCAAGCACTTTTACCCTAACCCATCCTGTTGCCCTTCGGAGAGTTCTTTGTAAGTCTGGACCCAGGTCTTGGGCTATCTCACAAATATTTTCTCTGACTCTATATTTTCTCTCTCTCTCTCTCTCTCTCTCTCTCTCTCTCTCTCTCTCTCTCTTTCTCCTAAAGGTGTGTTTTTGGAGCATGGCGGTGCATGCTTTTAATCCTAGCACTTGGGAAGCAAAGGCAGGCAGATCTCTGTGAGTTCCAGCCTATTCTGGTCTACAGAGTGAGTTCTAGGACAGCCAGGGCTACACAGAGAAACCCTTTCTCAAAGAAAAAAAAAAGTATTTTGATGAATATAAATCTGAGTCATAGTGTGATCAAGTCAGTTTTTTTTTTTTTTTATGTATATTGACTTTTGTGCCCCATTTAAGAAGTCTTCTCTAGCTTCTAAGGTCAGAAAGATATTTCCTTGTGTCAATTCATATAAGTTTCATTTTTGTGGATTTTACATGGAGCTCTATACCAAAAATTTTTAATGTGTACTATAATATGAGATAAATATTACTATTCTGCATGGACACCCAAACAAGCAATTCTCTCCTCTGGAAAAGACCCACCCTTCCCTGCTGCCCTTTTGAAAGGTCTACATTTCTTCACCGTCCCATTGAAAAGCCTGTCTTTCCTTGGGCTGGCTTCTGGAATCTCTGTTTGGTTGCACTGGTTTATTTCTCTGTTATTCTACAATGCCGTGCCTTAATTTCTTTATGTGTATACAATATCCTGACATACTTTTGTGAAGAAAGCTCTAGGTTTCATGGTTCATGTTAGAGATTTTCACCGTGTCTTACATTTCTTATACTTTTCCCCTGTGTGTTCCACCCCTTCATACTTTGGGGCTTTAGCTTGAATATTTCTTTTTCTCTACCTGCCAGGTCTGGCAGCAGCCAAATTCTTGATCATCTTGTTCATCAAGAAGAAACATCACGTTCTTCTTGTGCATATGCGCTATCAGCTGCACCATCAAAAAATAGCAAATGGGACATGGGGCTCCGGGTCTCCAGCGATCCCTTTCACTTAGATCGGAATTTCTTTCGAGTGCCACCACTGTAGGAAAAAAAAAAGGTGCCCAGCGGCACAGAAGGCACAGAGGTTGTGGAGTGTGAACTTCCTGTGAACTCCCTTTTGTTGGTCCTCTGGGTGATATTAGCATAAGCAAACCATCAGGATAAAAGTGCTCAAAGGAACAAAGGAGAGGGTAGCATCTCCACACTGCAATTCAGTGCCTATGGGTTACTGTTTGTCCCTAAGTACTAGCAACAGTTCAGTGATCAGCTGGAGGAAGAACTCTGAAGACTGAGGCATTGACCTTACACAACCTTTGCATCCCTGCATGCAAAGAACACCAGCTGAGAAGCCAGCAGAGAAGCCACAGGCAAAGCCTGGTAGCCCGGTAGCTTCTTCTGAGCCTTCTTTCGGGGCTCTTTTTTCCCCGCCTTTTCCTTTCTTTCTTGAGAAAAGGTCTTCCGGATCAGAGGCTAGTCTTGAATTTGCTATGCAGTCAAGGATGACCTTGAACTTCTGATCATCCTGTCTCTACCCACTAAGCCCTGGGATTCCAGGCAAGCACTTTTGGTGTTTTATGTTGGAACTCAGGGCTATAGGCATGCTAGGCAAGAGCTCTACCAACCGAACTACCACCCAACCGTCCATTATCTATCCTCTGCTTGTGCCTTTGGCCATGGTAAAAAGGAAAACTTAAGATAAAATAAGTTCTGTAAGGAATGACTCACGAATCAGGCGGTGGCTAGACAGGAAGCCATCAAGAGCTCTGCTCTGCAGCGTGGGCAGCCAGCTCTTCTAGGATGAATGGAATAAAGTATGTGAATAACTTGATTGGTTGCAGTTACACATTTGCCTGATTTAGGTGTGACCTGATCAGTGGGCTGTCTGTGGTTGAGTAAAATGTAAGTTGCCATAAAAATATGTCTCTTAGGTTATGACTCCTGAGCTGGGGAGTGGAGTCCAGCAAATGCCATACCCCTGAGCAATAGCTCCCAGGCCCAGCCCCAGTCCCAGTTCCCACCTTCGGTGGTTACAGAGGGACATGTGTTGTAGTACAGGAGCCCAAGTACAAAGTCAGGCCCCGGTGCATGCCATGTGTATGGTATGAAATAGCCTTTAGGGTCTTTTGATTTTTTTCACAACACTTTAACAATTAAAGGCAGCATTTCTGGAGTTGACAGTGGCATCATGTAATGTATTTTGGGACCTTATGTTTCTCACCTCTGCTGTTTTCATGACACCCCTTTCTGATTGGCACAGGCCTAGTTGTGCAGCTACGACCTCATTGCTCTAATAAGTCTCCTCCAGATGCTTGGATTTTTTTTTTCCCGTAGAGAACGTACTTTTAAAAAAGGTTTGTGTGTGTTAACGTGTGGGTACGGGTGTGTACATGCCACCCTCTGTGGGCGTCAGTCTCAGTCAGGTTGGTTAGACAGGGTCTCTTACTGTTTGCTATTGCATGTGACAGGCTAGCTGGCTGGAGAGCTTCCAGGAATCCTTCTGCCTCCACTCCCCCTTTTGCTCTAAGAACACTGAAATTACAAACATGTGCTACTGTGCCCTACTTTACCTGGGATCTAAAGATTTGAACTTAGGTCCTCAGACTTGCAGAGCAAGCACTTTTACCTACTGAGCCATCTCCTGTCCTACAACACTGGGGACCCTCTAAGTCATCACCCATATTTTGGCCTATTAGACATATCTGTTTTTTCAATATTTAACAAACACGATCATTCTGATTCTGTTATTCCAATTAAGCTTAGATGTCAGTGATCTTTCTACCTTCAAACTGCAGTGGTTGGCAATTCAAGTAGGTTAGACTTTTAAAAAAAAAAAAACAAACATGGAATTCTTGTTATTGATATTATTATTATTACTCCTAGGAATTTTTTGATGTCTGGCCAGTTCTGATGGGTGAGGCTCCAGCCTACTCTGGTCCGAGGACTCCAGATGGAAGGGTAAGTTTCTTGGAGATTTTTTTTTTCACCTACATGGCTGGACAAACTCATCTCAAGAACTTTAATTTATCACACATATTTATCTTCACTATCTTAGGCTGTTTCTCCTAATTCGGTAATGCTTCACAACTTCCCAACCCTGCCACTTGCAAAAGTTTAATATCTTGCTGGAATCTTGAAGGGAGCTGGAGGAACAAATGAGGCAGGGATCAATACCCACATTCCATAGAAAGAAATATATATATATATTGAGCTCACCCCTTAGCCTATGAGATCCTTAAACTCACAGTGCTCTCTTGCTTCAGCCTCCCAGGTAGCTGGAATTAGAGACCTGCACCAGCAGGCGCAGCCATCATTTATTTCATTAATTTCATTCTCCCATTGGACAGACGGTTGAAGAGATTACGATCTGGAAAGGCCAAGTCATTTGTACAAATTTAAAACCAGGACACCTCTCTCTCTCTCTCTGGTGACTGTCATCACAAACATGCCTTCTCATGGTCACTTTTGCCTGCTAATATGACTCATGCTTTATTGGCTGAGTCAACAAATATTCAAATGCATTTTAAAAATACAGCTTTGGGCTTTAACTGCCCCTCCCTCCATCCTAGGTCTAAAGGCCTCTAACAGCCATTTCTCATTTCATCTCTTTTAGAAAGTAAAATGGCATGTGTGTGTGTTTAAAGTATGAAAAAGTACAGGCTAACTTAGGTGTCATGGGAAAAAAACCAAAAACCAAAGCACACATAGCTTGTCTTCAAACTGCTATATTTCTAGACACCATGATTTAGCCACCAGAGTACTGGTGGCTCTTTGAAAGACCTTGGTTGTCACAGTGTCCACTCTTCAGCAGAAGGTAACAAAGGTGCCCTTGATGGCTCTGGTTTGGTTTTCCAGAGTCTGTGAATTCATACATGAATGTGGCTTTGAAGGCCACACAACAGCTGCAGTGTGCAGGAAAGGCCCTATTTGCCTAAAGCACACTGATTCTATTTTACTGCCTTTTTTTTTTTTTCCTGAAAGCAAATTGATTTTCCCGTAGGCTTCAGGTGAAAAAAACAAAACAAAACAAAAAACCCAGCACACTAACCGAATCTGTTAGACATGAGAGGAACTTCTCTGAAGGGTACCCTGGCAGCTGTGCTTGGCACCACACTGTCAGCCGTGGTGGCAGCAGCAGTGGCCACATTCTCACCTATGGACTCTACAACAGCCTGTGTTGCTAAGCTGGGATATTTTTTGTTGGTTTGTTTGCTGGCTGGTTGGTTTGGTTTCTGGAGACAGGGTTTCTCTGTGTAGCCCTGGCTGTCCTGGACTCACGGAGATATGCCTGCCTCTGGCTTCCAGAGTGCTGGGATTACAGGCGTGCATCACCATGCCCAGCTATAGCTGGGATATTTGGGGACCTTTTCTTCTCTTGTCTTTTTTTTTTTAAGACAAGGTCTTGCTCTGTATCCCAGGCTAGTTTAAAACTTAACACGTAGCCCAGGCTGACCTCAAACTTTTAGTGAGCCTCCTGTCTCCTGACAGCTGAGATCACAGGTGTGGCCACTATACTTAGCTGACTGGAGTCTCCTTATATAGCTCAGGTGGGCCTGGAACCCACAGTCTTCCTGCCTCTGCTCCTGTAGATGCAAGGTTTACAGGCATGAGCCCCTATGCCCAGGTGCTTTAACTTACAATGGGTTTATGGGGCTGCAACCCATTGTGCGCAGACAGGCTGCGCATGTCTTTGATCCCAGCACTCTGGGGGCAGAGGCAGGTGTGGAGGTCCAGCCTCATCTACATAGTGAATCCCAAGCTAGCCAAAGGTACAAAGTGAGACCCTGTCTCAAAAAGCTAAAAAACAAAATTGTATCAGAAAAACCAGGCCTGTGTGTCCACTGAACACATGAAACTAGTGAATAAATGAATGAATGAATGATGCAACTCTGTGCTTGGATCTCATAAAATAAGTGACATCTAATGCTGGGTTCTGCAGCATTCTCCAGCTCTTTATCAGACCATCCTGCACATGAGTTGTGGGATCAATAGGTACTGAGCTCTTCAACTCTTCTATAACATATGTTTTACACACACACACACACACACACACACACACAATTGTGTGAAGTGTAATGAATAATCTGAGAGTTAGTATTTGTACCTAAGGTTAAAAAAAACAACCCCAAAAGCCACAAATGCCAAGTGAAATCAGTAGTAACTGGTGAATTTAAGCAAAGAAAATTGACATAGTTGTGAACTTGTTGCTATTTAACAAATTCTGACATTGTAGAGGGACATAGGCATGTCAATCTATGCTTTTGACATAACTTGCTCATGGCATAGGTGTGGACTTGCTGAAAGGCTTCTTAAAGTAATGTGGCTGAGATTTATGAACGTGGCAATGCATACTCAAGGACATGTCTGTAGGATACACTGCCACCTGTGAAAATGCTGAGTCAGAGAATATGTACATTTTGACATCCTGCTAACTCTCCTGCAACTGCAAAACTTTGGTAGGATGAGGTAGCCCCAAGGTTGAAATGATAGATAGGACGGGGTATCAATAAGGCTCATGTTGCTGTGATAGATATTAAGAGAAGAGTGAGGTTTGTAGAATGGAGGATCCCCATGCACTCTGGCCCTGGCAGAGGTCTTTGTAGCTCCATTTCTCTGACAGGTGGACAGTGAGAACCCTCTGTAACTTTGCTTTGGAAGTCAGATTCAAGATCTAGATTCCTAAGCCAATTGGTGGTGCATGCCTATAATTCTAGCATTTGGGAGGTTGAGGCAGGAGGATCAGAAGCTTAAGGTCAACCTTGGCTGCTTATCAAGTTTGAGGCCAGCTAGAAAGTATGACATGAAATCTTGTCTCAAAACAAAACAAAACAAACAAAAAAACCAAACCGAAACCAACCAAACCAAACCAAACCAAACAACCAAACAAAAAAGAGATGAACAGGGTCGCTCAACACATAATGGCTTGTGTCACCAAGCTTGATGACCTGTTTGATCCCTGGGTCCCACATCATGGGAAGAAAGAATAAAATCCTACAAGTTGTTCTCTGATCTCCCCACTTTCACTGTGATATGTGCACATGAATGAACACACACATGCCTACCTACCTATACACACCCACTCTAAATAAACCACACACACACACACACACACACACACACACACACACACACACACAATTAATTAGCTTGGTGGTTACTTCCTATACAGCTATGATGGGGAGGGTAGGTAGAATGACAAGAGCATCCTTTGGGCTTGCCGGTGGGGCCGCCCTTCCTCAAAGGCATATAAAATGGGGAGTGGTGGAACACTGAACACCCTCTTCCGGCTTTCCACATCCACAAAGGTTCCTGCACCTGCCTGCGCAAGTGTGCGCACAGCCCACAATCCAAACAAACAAATTATCCAGGCTTCTGTAGTTCAGTTAATGACACATTTTTTTTTTCACAAATGAAAAGAAGGGGTTGGAGAGATGGCTCAGAGGTTAAGAAGGGCACTGACTGCTCTTCCAGACCCCCTGGGTTCAATTCCTAGCACCCACATGGCAGCTCACAACTGTCTATAACTCGTGTTCCAGGGGTCTGACACCCTCACATAGACCTACATGCAGGCAAGCAGCAATATACATAAAATAAAAATAAATAATTTTTTTTAAAAAATGAAAAGAGGTCTAATAACTGAGAGAGACACGCAAGTATAGAGTCCATGCTTCTTAATAATGCAAGTAAGCAGCTGTTTCAGTAGCAACTAGTTTTCAGGCTGGCAACAGTGGTCATTATCTGAATAGCTGTGTCCCAGGTGAGAGAGAGAGAGAGAGAGAGAGAGAGAGAGAGAGATACCACAGTTCCATTTTAAGCATCTTCCCTAAGTCACATAGCTGAAGGGTCTCTCCAGCTAGCAAAGGCCCAAGCCCTGGTGCTGGCTCATTGTCTCACTATACAGTAGTCCTTCCTTCTCCTACATCCAGGTTCTCATCCATGAGATGGTTGCTAAGCTGCCCATCCTACTTAGGTATACAGGGGACCTGATAAGATAATGGACTTTTCCATGGAGAACAAGAAGAGTGGAGCCACCTGCCTGCTGGTTCTATGAAGGTCTATGACCTTCTATGACCCTTAGTGAGGGTCAGCTAAGAACAGTGAGCACTGGGAGGCAGCAGAGCTGTCCTCAGAGGGAGCTAGGAGCAAGCTTGGCACCTCTGAAAAACAGGGGGCATATGACAGTGAAGGACAAGGTATGAGCACCATGTCTTAGGCGTGGGTGAATTTTGTGTGTTCTTCTCCCTATTAAAAAAAAAAAAGGGAAGGAGAAAAAAAGAATCAGACTAGTTTCATGACACACTTCTGTGGAAGCCCTGCCCTCACTCAGTGTGTAACTTTCCTTTCTTGCCAGGAAATTAACTTTTACAAGGTCATTGACTACATCCTGCATGGCAAAGAAGACATCAAAGTAATCCCGTAAGTTTCATCTCCAGACACACACACACACAAAACTTCGGCATACTTTCAACACCTTCAGTCTGTGGCTGCTATATGAACTCGGATTAAACCCTAAAGGGCTTGGTTGGAGGCAGAGAGAGCAGGCAGATCAGTGAGAAACAAAACAAAACAAACAAAAAAAGCCACAAACAACAAAAAATGGAGATTTACAAAGTGGTGGAACCAGGTCCCCAGAGGGGAAGAGCTTGATCAAAGATACAGCATGCTGGCTTATGTATCAGGCAGAGTCCCAGTGTTAAGAGACAAGGACCAGGACCCTCTCCCCCACTAAGAAAAGAGATGATGGTCTCAAATTGAGGCTTTTCAACCACTCTGTGGAGATCTTGGACTCCTGGGGTCTAAGCAAAAGGCAGAACCTTTTCTGAACTGGGCAGGGCAGGATGCTGAGGGTGCCTGTAGAAGTCTATTTTAGAATGGAGAAGTCATAAATTCCCTTGGGATAGGCTTTGGCTGCTTTGGTCAGCAGAGTGTCCTAGATGTCGGGGCTTTGATGTCTTCTTATCTCCCAGAATCTTCCCTGTACCAAGAGCCACACCCAGAACTGTACCTGGAGACAGTCTCCATTTCTCACCTTAATTGCAGGTTCCTTAACCTGCAATCAAGCTCTGTGAGAGACCACACCGAAAGCCGCTGGCTGCCCTCTCCCCACAAAACCAGAGAGCTGAAGTACTGCCCCAATCCCCAAACAGTAGAAATAACTGGTCAGTCTTGGTCACCAGGTCAAATTCTGAAATTCTCCTCTGTTACTCAGGGAAACAGTCCCCAGGTCTGCCTTTTGCTAGTTGAGGATGAGAAATTGTCCCACACTCCCATGTTGCTGGGCTCTCTTTTCCTGTGCTTGTATAAAGACTACTTTTAGGATGATGAGATGGCTCAGTGCTTAAGGGCTGCTCTTCCAGAGGACCTGGATTCAGTTTCCAATTTGCATGTCTATACCTCTACAGCTTCAAAGGATGACACATGCGCAGACCCACACACACACACACAGTGCACAGGCATACATACATGCAGACAAAACACCCACACATATAAAATAAATAAAGTAATTAAAGCAATGGTTCTTTGCCCTTCCCTGCTTTTTCTCTCCCTCTTTTCCTCTTCAAATATGTTGCTCTCTAACTTCCTTTTATTTTCCTTTAAACTTTTCTTTTCTTTCTTTCTCCCCCTCCTCCTCTCCCCCTTTTGAAAACAGGGTCACATGTAGCCCAGGTTGCCCTGAGTCTTGGTATGTAGAGGAAGCTGGCTTTCAACTTCTCATCCTCCTGCCTCTATCTCCCAAGCACTGGGATTACAGGCACGAGCCGCCATGCCTAGCTTCTTACTCTCTAGCTTCACAGTCATTAAACTCATTATGTGTCTTTTACATCATCACAAGCCACAGCTTTCCTCGTTGGTTTTTAATGCATGTATGTATGGGTACACACCCATACATGTTCGTGGATGTACATGAGTGTGATGTATAGAGGCTAGAGTTTGATGTCGAGCCCAGAGTTTGCCTGCTTGCTCCAGGGATCCTGTCTCTACCTACCACTGCTGTCACACCTGACTGACAGGTTACCATTACCCACTACTTTGCCCACTGAGCCATCTTTCCAGCCCCTTTCTCAGATCTTATTAATGTGGCACATCTCACCACACTCAAATAACCATCATCTGCTCCATTGCCAACCGGGCATGTGGTTGGGAGCATCTTACAAGCATTGTCACCGGGCAGGGCCCACATTGGTAACACCGTTTTGATTCTTGCAGGAGTCACTAATATTGTCAGGGAGAAGATAGATCAACCAGATCAGTCTACTTAGGTGACAAAGATGGCCTGGCTGGATAAGAAGAGACCTGTTCTCTGTGGACGCCTGGACATGTGGCATACACTTAAACAGACAAACATGCACACACATAAATTTCATTTTACACACACATACATTTCAAAAGTTAAGTCTTGAAAACTAACATATTCAGCTGGGTGGTGGTGATCTTAGCACTCAGGTGGCTGAGGCAGGTGAATCTCTGTGAGTTTTAAGCCAGCCTGATCTACAGAACTAGTTCTAGGACAGCCAAGGCTACACAGAGAAACCCTGTCTTGAAAAACACTACCACCAAAAAACCATGAATAACACATTCATCTCCTCCACTTTCTACTAATCACACAGGCCAGCCATGATTCATTGTTGGAGAGGACTATCCATCACTCATACCAAATCAAATATGAGGTGGGAGGAATTGCCAAGCACACCTAGGATCCTGGTTTATTGTAAAGTATTTTTTAAATAGTCATGCTGTAAAGTGAGATATTTATGGCACAGATAACTGCCTCAGATCAAGCCTACAAAGATATCTAAGTCAACGAAAAAGGCACATTACAGCAAAGTAAGAGAAAGACATGAGTAGGAAGTCCCAAAGGCAACCCGTACAACAAAGGCAGTGATTCGGGGAAGGCCACAGGGGTGGCATTCTCAGACCATACCAGAGGGCTATAACTCAGAAGTCTGAACTCAGGGGGTATTGGCAGGGACACGGAACAAAGGGAACTGTAGCATATCATGGATGGTGTGTATATCGGTACAACTACTTTATAAATTTAAAAATATGTACATCTTACCACTCAGCATTTCTGAGATACATACTACAATATGCAGAGCTGAGTCAGCAGTGCTGTTTCACCTAATCTCAAACTGGGAACGGAGGTAGGAGATGACCAGCAACATGGAGATGGATAAATTGTGCTACTGTGGCAAGAAGGAAAACTGCACAAGATGAAATAGCAGCCAAACAAAACAATAAGCAATGGATGATCCCATCTAAATCAAGTTGGAAAACAGGCCAGTCAGGTTAGAGAGGACAGGGGAGCATAGCCACATGGTAGAATGCTGAAGAAAAGCAATACAATTATACTAGAATGAGGTTCTTCAGGGTTGGAGAGAAGGCCGGGCTTGAGAAGGTCTGGGCCTTCCAAGGTGCTGACGCCTCTGCTCTTGACTGGTGTGGGATTTCTGAAATGTTTACCCTCAGGTGAAGCGCTGCTATACAGCACATAACAGTAAGCTTGGGAGCTGTAGTGTTGCCTCTCCTAGAAATAGTATTGAAGTATCAGCTTCAAGCTTAGTCCACGGCAGGAACGCACCACCCCTCCACTTCATGGGGAAAGATGGGGCCTGTGCTTTGCTCCGCCATCAGTAGTAATCAGTGGAATGACTGTTTGGATGGTTTGGCTTCATGGACAGACGATCATGAAAATGTTCTACTTGTGACTGCTTTTTTGTTTCTGAACATACAGTAGACAGCTGGCTTGCCTTTGGGGCTGAGGCAGGTGCTGTGAGCGGAAGCAGCGGCTGGGCCAGTGGAGAGAGAGGAGGCACGGTTCCCTGACTTGAAAGTCACTCTTTATCTTTGGCCTTTACAGGAACCCACCTGCCGACCACTGGGCTCTAGTAAGCGGCCTCCCTACTTACGTGGCTCAAAACGGCCTGGTAAGTGATACAACTTGGAGGGGAGAGAGTGTGAATCAAACTGACAGCAAGTGTGACTCTTTCAAACCAGAGTCTCTCGTTTTTCTAGTTTACACAGAGGAGAGGAGATCCCTGACCTTTCGGGGAAACGGCAGATGTAGAGAAATAGCTCTTACATGGAAAGGCATACAGTGTTACTGACAATAAAAACTTATGCAAATATGTCCGGGACAATGTCATGACTAGCTGATCTACCAGGCTTCCCAGATACTAAGAACCAAGCTCTTACAGCAGGTGTAATTGCCATTCCTAGCCTCTCCCGCCTACCCACATACACAGCAGTGCTGCTACCACCATGCCTGTGTTACTCAGACCTTTCCTTGCTGTGACAAAATACCTTCCGGGGACCTCATCTGACTTTCAGTCACGCCCCCAGTGACCCGTTTCCCCTAACTAGGCCCCATCTCCCAAAACAGCACCACCAGCTGGGGACCAAGCTGTCAACTTAAAACCCTCTATACGATTTTTCATATTTAGACCAAAACAAAGGCCCACCATTCAGGGTCGAGGGTAGAAAGATGGTGTGCTATCTCCTGTGTCCCAGAGCAGGGTCATGTCTGTTAGCTACACATCACATATGTGCTGTTTTGGCCTGTGGCAAAGCAGTGCCTCCTGGTAACCAGGCGTCCAGGAAGCCAAAAACAGACAGGGAAGTGAGGTGTGGCTTCCACTGTTCCCTTCAAGGCCATGCTCCGATAAGTAGGAGAGTACCTGCTAGGCCCACTCACCTCTTAAAAGTTTCTACTGCTTCCCAGCACGGTCTCCTTGGTGACCAAAAGTCTCGAGTTACCCGTGAGACTTTGGGGATCCTCCATATCCAGACTTCATGACATGTAGACCTGGCTGCAGAGGCTGGGAGCAACACACTGAGTGTGCCTAGTGTCACCCTTGTTAGGCCTGCCTGAGACAAGAAGACAGATTTCAAGGTGGTTTGATCAGATGGAAGGAGCCCGATTTAGGGGGCCTTGGATTGCATGTAGAAGGCTGGGCCTTTAATCCACAGGTTAGTGGAGGTGAACTGAGAAGGGAACAGCTCAGGGAAGAGGTGAGAACAGTCTCAAAGAAGGGGGCAGAGGATGTCACTCAGGGGTAGAGTGCTTGCCAATATACTTGAGCGTTGAACTTCACTGACCCGGGTGTGGCAGTCTACTTCTGAAATCCTAGAACCCAAGAGGTGGAGGCAAGAGGACCAGATGCTCAAGGCCAACCTTGGCCTCATAGTGAGGAGTCCAGCCTGAGCTAAATAAGACTCTCAAACAAAGGAACAAACAAACAGAGTTCATAGTAAGAAGGCAAAGCTTGGCTAGGATATACAATGATGAGTCACCGTCAGTTACAAAGAAGTAGAGACATTTCTCAGGGGCGTGTCCAGCAGGTGGATGAAGAGACAGTTCTGATACAAAGGGGAGAGTAGTGCAGCGATAGAGATGAGGGGTCTCAGGGTCAGGCAGCACAGGAAACCTGGGGGACGGGGCATTCAGTGCGATACTGGGAGATGCCAGCGTTTCCAGATTAGCTGGAGGAAGAGGATTCTATGAAGAATGAAGAGAGGTAAAAAAATGTTTGAAGACCCAAGAGAGACAGTGCCATGATAACCAAGGAAGCAATGTGTGAAACTACATGTATGTAACCCAGATTTGGCAAGAAAGAAGCAGGAGTCCCACCACAGCATGAGGTCCTTGGCAGACCTAGTAAAAACAAATTTGTTAGCAAAGTGGAGGCAAAAGCCAGGAAGAAGGTGACTGAGGAATGGTGGTCAATGAGCAGGTAGAGAATTCAAGAGAAAGAAGGAGAATGCATGCCTGGATGGTTGCTATGTTGACTGTGTGAGCTGAAAGATTAGCAAGGTTGTGGGAGCATGCCCTCTGAGCTGAGAGCAACAATGAGGAAGGAGTAAGCGTATCTGATGGACATAGGCCTTGCAGAGGCTTGGAAAGATGCTACAACATATGGGCAGTGCTCAGAAAAAAAGAAAGAAAGAAAGAAAGAAAGAAAGAAAGAAAGGAAGAAAGAAAGAAAGAAAGAAAGAAAGAAAGAAAGAAAGAAAGAAAGAAAGAAAAAAAAAACAGGGATAGTTCAACCTCTGAAACCAGGCAGCCTCTCTCTGCAGTGGGCAAGCATGGCTGCTGCCAACTCATGTGCACACTACACAGCTGCATACAGTGGCCCCATTGTCAGTGCTCCAGAGGGATCATATTGATCTAGTCTTCAAGAGAGGAATCTAGCAATACAGAATCAGGTTGAAGCACTCTTTGCTTCTTAATCTACTTTATAGCCCAAGGAAAGAATCCTTCCTAGCAAACAAAACAGAACTCTAATGTAATGGAGCCAGAGATGTTTAGAGTATCTTCTTAAACCTCAGCTTTTAGGAGGCAGAGGCAGGTTGGCTCCAAATTCTAGGCCATCCAGGGCTATGTAGTGAGATTGAACACCCCCCACCCTGCAAACACAAAAATAAAACAGCACTTACAAATACACACGAATGCATGCTCCTGAACATCAAAATACTTAACAAAAGAGCCACAAAATGGGATACTATATAGTTATTAATAGTGACAGCTGTACACTTAGCTTTTTTTTAGAAATGCCTGGAGAATGTAACAAACAGAGTAAAATCTAGCAGGTGACCTTTTCTATCTGGTAACATCAGTTGATAACATCAGTTGATAGAGATGAGGAGTCTCAGGGTCAGGCAGCACAGGAAACCTGAGGGACGGGGCATTCAGTGCGATACTGGGAGATGCCAGCATTTCCAGATTAGCTGGAGGAAGAGGATTCTATGAAGAATGAAGAGAGGTAAAAAATGTTTGAAGACCCAAGAGAGACAGTGCCATGATAACCAAGGAAGCAATGTGTGAAACTACATGTTTCACACAAAACCCTGAGCCGTTTTGAATCTGTCCACCTGATGAGCACAGTGGGTCTTGGGCAAGGACTTGTGTTCTTAAGGGTGAGCAGGGTTTTCAGGTTCTTGCTCAGCTCTGACCAGCTATATTATTCCTCTCTGGGTTTGCAGATCTGCAATATAATGAATGCCCCTGCAGAGGACTTTTTTGCATTCCAGGTAAGCCATGTTTATTTGATCTCTTAGGCATAGGCTTTTTTTCCTTTCTGTCTTCAGAAAGAGCATTAGAACACAGTAGGGCCCGCCTGCTTTCTTGGGAAGCAGTCTGAAGAGTGAAAATTTGAACAAAGTTACATTAAAGGAAAGGGGAGAAGCTGCTATTTGGGTGAATTCCAAGATCCCTTTCAATTTGAAAATACTTGCCATCCTTCGTTTTCTGACCCCAGGACCCTTGCTTGGGCCACTCCCTGTCTGGGATGTTTCTGATCCTGCCATCTAACACCCTGGCTGGCACACGCCAGCCCTGACATCTCTCGAGTGGGAACCGTAGCTCCTGGCATAGGGAGTTTATAGCATTTGTAGGCAGCTAAAGCCACACAAGACCCAGGTTCCAGTCTCTCGGAGCTGAGCCAGGTCATTCGGGTTGAGTCACAGCCCCAAGTCAATCCCAGTTACCTTTGCAGCATGGCAGTGGTGAAGCCTGCAGTTCTTCTACTCTCTTGTAGAAAGAGCCTCTGGATGAGTCTGGATGGATGATTAAAAATGTGCTTTCCATGCCAATTGTCAACAAGAAGGAAGAGATCGTTGGTGTGGCCACGTTTTACAACCGCAAAGACGGGAAGCCCTTTGATGACATGGACGAGACCCTCATGGAGGTGTGGGATGCTGGGCAGCCGTTTGCTGGCGGGGGTCAGCATCCACTAGCTTCAGGCTTGGCCTTCCAGAGCTGTGTGATGGGACCCTAGTGTGCAGCTGCTTGACCGCTGGGAGGGGTGGGAAGTCACAACCCCGAGGAGCCTTGAGAGCCATTTTCTTTGTGTCCCCTCCTCACACATGTGCCCCACGTGATCAATGTGCTTTACTTTTTGGAGCAGTTTTAGATTCACACGAGAACTAATGAGAAGGCACAGAGAGCCTATGTACTTCCTGCTTGCTCCGCTTCCCTTTGTGACATTATTATTTATCAATAATTTAAAATGCATTTAATCCGTTATTTTATCACAGCCTGCCCACCCCACCCAGCTTTGCAAACCCACTTTATAGCCAAGAAAACAGGTCTCAACAGTCTTGCCCTCAGGACCCGGGCTGCCGCCACCTCTAATTCTTTCTTTGCAGTCTTTGACTCAGTTCCTGGGCTGGTCGGTCTTAAACCCTGACACCTACGAGTCCATGAACAAACTTGAAAACAGGAAGGATATCTTCCAGGACATTGTGAAATATCACGTGAAGTGTGATAACGAGGAGATCCAGAAGATCTTGGTGGGTAGTGGTCTTCACTTGTTTCTGGTACAGTATGCCATGGAGATGTGCTGGCCTGAGGCCAGGTGTGAAGCCTACCAGGCATGAGTGGGTTCGGCCCTGTCTCTCCCACCTAGCACAGAGGTGTGACAGGCCTCAAAGCTGGGTGGATGACACCAGAGAGTAGTTAATAATGACTGCCCAACAAATAATAGCTCTTGCAGAATCACCTCTGTCTTGGGGCCTGACCCTGGCTTGATAGCACTATAGACCCTGCTTTCCCCTGGGATCAAGACTGACTTGTCACTAGCGACAAGAGCAACCAGTCTCAGTCATTACTCTGGCAGGAAGCTTTATCTGGCAAACCTGTGGATCAGGGGCCATTTCACAGAGCCTCCCTTTTATAGGGTCACTCACTTAAAAGACCCACACACGTGGGGAGCAAAGCAGTGGTTCTGAGAGAGCAGGATGCCTTCCCATAATTATGCCACTTTGTAATTTGGAGATGCGGCTCGGTGGTGGAGTGCTTACCCAGCATGCATGAAGCCCCGGCTTTGCTCCTGAGTACTGCACAAACTAAGCATGGCAGAGCGCACCTGTAATCACACACCTGGCAGACGGAGGAGTTCAAAGTCATCTTTGGTGGCATAGTGAGCTTGAAGCTGGCCTGGGCTGCACAAAATCCTGTCTCAAAACAAAATACAGTTTATACAGCAAATTCCCACTTAGGAATATGTTTGAGGCCTTCCATGCATTAGCTCCGTCAGGTGAGCAGGAAAGGGTTTCTTACCTAGTACAGATATGAAGGAGTTGAGGCCCCAGAGAGAAGGGAATCACTTAGTATGAGAAGCGTTCTCACTTAACCTTTGTCAGGAAAATGAACTACTTCTCTGTGATCTTTCTTAATGGGTGCCTCAGGGGGTGGTGAGTACCCCATCAGGAGAGTTGTCCAAATAGCAGGTGAGTGCTCATGGATCAGGGGTGCCATCATGAATGGGAAACTGGATATGTGAGTATCAATGGTTCGTTGTTCCTGGGGGAGTGGAGAGGGTGTTAAATAAACCAAGATCCAACAAACAAATTGACTTAGTCAAATGGCTTGGGATATGATATCCAGCTGAGACCCCAAGGCCTCGGCTATATACCTCACATATCAACATATCCCAGGCCAATGTTCTCAGAGGTCTCTCATTCCGTTTCCTCATCTCTGTCTCCTTTTTTTTTTTTTTTTTTTTTATTGAGACATAAGTAATCCCAGCTGGCCAGGTCTCCTACCTCTGCCTTCCAGCGCTGGGGTTACATGTTTGTTCTATCATGCCCAGCCTCAGGCTTTTCTTTGCTTCGCTTTCCTTACATAAGATCTCACATAGCCCAGACTGGCCTCAGTCTTGTCTGTAATTGAGAATGACCTTCAACTTCGGTCTTCTTGTCTCTACCTGAGATTCACAGGTATGCACAACCATGCCCAGATAAGCCAGAGCACGCTGGGTAAGCTCTCCACCACTAACCTATATCCCCAGCAAAAGACCAGTCCTTAACCTCAGCAGACGCCATAGAAAATCCGATTATTTCTTATCTATTAGTGGTCAGTTCATAGGAGAAACACCAAGTTTTGATGAAATGCCTCATAACCATAATCCCAGCCAAATGATGGATATGTGGACCAGAAGAACACATAGCCTCCATGAACCAGTTGGAAGTTAACAGATTTCACCCTGGAACAAGAAATCAGAAACAATTAACTGATCCCTCCGTCTGGCACATGAAAATAGGCGCAGAGAGGAAAGGGTCTTGCCTCAGGTCACACAGCACATGAACAAAGACTTAGGGTTTTGTAGCGGAGTACTTTGGCCAGCTGTGGCCAAGGTATGCTGCAGAGATCACATCTCACAACAGATCTCATCCAGGAAATGTATTGGGGGACAAAGACAGACAGACAGACAGACAGAGAAAGAGAGAGCAAGAGTGGTCTGTGATGGTGGGAACTTTTTGAAGGATTAGCAACGGGTGATGATATTGCTGCTGTGTTGCTGAAGGCAGGCTTAGGGAGCACCTGGTTTCTAATAAGGACTATGGCCAAACCCGCACTATCCTCAACCATCAGTAACAACAAAAACATAAATAATAATATTATTTTGTTCATACTACACTGTGACAATAATTTACATACTTATTTTAGTTGTACTTTTGTTCATTCAGAGACAGTTTTACTAGATAGCCTGGGCTGGCCTGGCCTTCTCTATGTAGCTTACATTGCCTTCAAGTCTATGACACCCCCCACCCCCCCACCCCCGCCACAGCCTCTGAGTGCTGGGTGGGATTACAGATATGTTCCCACCGTGTTTGGCTAGTTCACATAGTTTGTTTAAAAACAAGGACCAGGCCTGATGGAATGTGCCCATGATCCCAACACTTGGGAAGCTGAGGTCGGAGGATGGAATGTTCCAGGCCAGCAGATCTTAGCCAGCCAGCCCCACAGAGCCAGCACAGTGGGACTCTGTCTCAAAAATAAAATCATTTAACTCAATGCTAAAGTGCTTGCCTAGTATGGGCAAGGCCTGGGCTCTATCTCTAACATTGAAAAAAAAAAAGAAAAAAGACTGCACAATCAAATGATGATTTTATAGGCTTTTATTGTTGCCATTTGATAGAGATGAGGGATTGAGATTTGGGCATTCAGTAGCACAGCTAGAAAGTGACAGGCTGAATTTGAAGGTAGGTCTCCAGGGCTCCAAAGCCCCAGGGCTCATTTGTCAATGAATGCTAAACAGCGGCCTCGGCCTCGGCCTCGGCCTCGGAGTGGGTGCTTCTGCTGGAGGAAGGCGCAAAGCAAAAGTGGGATGGGGAGTCTCCTTGGGTTCTTGAGACAATAACCTGTTGCATTTTTTTCTGCTGTTTTGGGGCCTGGCAGAAAACCAGAGAGGTGTATGGGAAAGAGCCGTGCGAGTGCGAGGAAGAGGAGCTGGCTGAGATCCTGGTGAGCAGCCTCACCCTGACGCAATAGGACTCAGGCATCCCTTCGCCCAGCTTGCCTTCCCTCAGCAGACCTAAGGGAGGGTTCCAGGAGCACACCACGCCCCTTGTCTTAGTTAGGGCTTCATTGCTGTGAGGAGACAATATGACCACGGCCACTCTTATAAAGGACAACATTTAATTGGAGCTGCCTTACAGTTTCAGAGGTTTAGCCATTATTGCCATGGCAACATGTAGGCAGACATGGTGCTGTAGAAAGAGCTGAGAGTTCTACATCTTAATCCAAAGGCAGCCAGGAGGACACTGTTCTCCATACTGGGTGGACCTGAGCACAGAAGACCTCATCTGCCCCCACAGTGACACACTTCTTACTCCACGCATCCTCCCTATGGGACAAGCATTCAAACCACCACACCCCCTTAATCGCTGGACTCTACTCCAATACAGCAAGGAGAACTTCCAGATGTGGAGAAATACGAAATCAACAAGTTTCACTTCAGCGACCTGCCCCTCACGGAGCTGGAGCTGGTGAAGTGCGGCATCCAGATGTACTATGAGCTCAGAGTGGTGGAAAAGTTCCACATCCCACAGGAGGTGAGGTGCAGAGCCGCTCGCCCCTTCCTCATTCTGCAGCCGGGTCTAGCCCAGAGTCCCTCGTGCAGTGCAGCCTGGCCTTGAACTCGTAGCTGATGGTCCTGCCTCTACCTCCTGGGTGCCAGGATTCCAGGTCACTGGCCCTTCCTCCCTTCCTCCTTCCTCCCTGGCTTTAGAACTGCTCGGTCTGTAGAGCTTGTGCTCTGCATCTGAGGCTCACAGTATGTGCCTAGGCCCTGTCTGGGTCCTCGTTAGAGAAGACACTTCTTTTCTGGATCAGGGTCCCCGAAGCTCCCATGTAGGCGGAAGGTATTAGTTAAGGTCATGGAAACAGTTTTCTTCACTGCAGGGCTCCTTACAGAGATGCACCATGGGAGAGGCCGTGTGGAGGATAGGGGTGCCCAAAACCTCCTAGACTTTGATTAAAGTAGTGGTTTTCAAAGTGTTGCTCCAGACCACATCAGTACAACCCACGACACTGTCAGACGAGCCTTTCGCTTTACGCACCCACACACCCCCCAGGCCCAGGTACGTCAGCGCATGACCAGCGCTAAGGAATCTGATGCTAACAGGACCTCCAGGGATTCGGAAGCTCAATCCGTGGAGGGTGCGGGCGGCTCACAGTCTCCCTGCCTGTAACACCTGCGTCCCCACTGTCAAGCCGTAGGGTGTTTTCTGCCTCTGTGGCTACTTCCCACTCTCTGGGTCAGTGATGGGGTGGGAGGACCTCGGGTCTCCCGAGGGCGGGGGCGCGCTGTCTCACCGATGCGTGTGTTCACAGGCCCTGGTGCGCTTCATGTACTCCCTGAGCAAAGGCTACAGGAGGATCACTTACCACAATTGGCGGCATGGCTTCAACGTGGGGCAGACCATGTTCTCCTTGCTGGTGGTACGGAGGGCTGTAGGGTCGGGGAGACGGGCTCATGTGGCAGCCGTGGCGTGGCCATTTTTATTTAATGACTTTCAAGAATTTCGAAATTTTGTCTGAGAATGTAGCTGAGTGACAGAGTACTTGCCTAGGGGGTTCAATTCCTAGCACTAATTATAAAAAAAAAAAAATTACAAAAGTAATATAAGCATAAAAAGAGGTCCATGAACAAGCCGGGCGTGGTGGGGCAAGCCTGTAGTCACAGCACTCAGGAGGCCAGAGCAGCTTAGCCTGCGCCATCTCGCAAGGCTCTCTCGAAACACAACAAAAAAGAGCAGAGAAGTGTACAAATCCTACCAAGTTTTCTTTTTGTACCACACACAGAAAGAGAGAGACAGAGACAGAGAATAGATGCCACTTATTTTTACAACCAATGCAATAATCTATAATGTTTTATTTGAAAATGTATATCATACATTCTTATGTTCTTCCATTATATATGCCAATCAGACTTTCCTTTTTTTTTCTTTCTTTCTTTCTTTCTTTCTTTCTTTCTTTCTTTCTTTCTTTCTTTCTTTCTTTCTTTCCTCCCTCCCTCCCTCCCTCCCTCCTTTCTTTCTTTCTTTCTTTTTTGTGTCTGCATGCCAGAAGAGAGCACCAGATCTCATTATAGATGGTTGTGAGCCACCATGTGGTTGCTGGGAATTGAACTCAGAACCTCTGGAAGAGCAGACAGTGCTCTTAACCTCTGAGCCATCTCTCCAGCCCGCACATTTTCTACTATATGAAACATAAAAATTTACCATTGAGGTCATTTTAGGTGTACAGTCCAGTGGTGTTAAGTATATTCACAATGTTATACCGTTGTTGTCATGATCATCTCTAGAATATTCACCTTCTCAAACAACAGCCATTCAACAATACTGCCTTTCTCTCCTACCTCCTGGGCAATTTCACTCTATCTTCTCTCTATATGAACTTGATCACTCTAGGTACTGCTGTGGAATCATTATTTGTTCTTTTCCTTCTGGCTTATTGCATTTATCATAGTGTCTACAAGGTTCATCCATTTATAGTTTTATTGTTGCACAAAACAGTTGTCCTTTGCAATCTGTGTGTGTGCGTGTAGAGGGGGATCTTGTTTTAGGTTACCTCCTCATACCAAAGCTTTGTGTATGGTCGTCTCTGATATAAAACAGTGGAGTATTTGCATGTTACCTATGCCCCCTGTGTATTCTTGTATGAGATTGGGTCTTGGAATGTAGCTCAGCTTGACCTTGATTACAGGCATGTACCATCATACCAGGATCCTCCTGGATACTTTAAGTCATGTCTAAGTTACTTATGATATCTAATGTAACGGAAACACTATACAGATATTCTAATGCATTTCTCAGGAAATAACAAGAACATGTTGGCATAAACATAATTTTTTGACAGGATCTCATCTAGCCCAAGCTGGCTTTAAACCTTCCATGTAGGCCAAGACCTTAAATTTTTTTTTTTTTTTTTTGTTCTCAAGACAGGGTTTCTCTGTGTAGCATTGGCCTGGACTCGCTTTGTAGACCAGGCTGGGGCTGAACTTACAGATCTGCCTGCCTCTGCCTCCCTGAGTGCTGCTTTTACGGAGTACACCCCACGTCTGGCTGACCTTAAACTTCCGGTTGTCTTGCTTCCACCTCCCGAGTGCTGGGATTAGAGAGGTTTTTACACTGTGCTTGGTTTATACAGTACTGGGGTGGAACCCAGAGCTTCATATACGCTAGGCAGGTACTCTACTGAGCTACATCCTCAGGCCCCTAGAAAACAATTTCAAAATCTCTCTTGGGTCCACAACTGGTTAGATTCACAGATGTGGAGCCCATATATCCACAGATACAGAGAGGGCTGACTGTAACTGCTGTGCTATAAATTCTTTACCCAAATCCCTATTGTTGGAAGTGAAGGTTGCTTTTTTAATTTTTTACTATGACAAACATTGCTACAATGTCTTTGGGTGGCCTTGGTTTGTTTGACTCAGAAATTTCAGAACCCATCATATCTCCTTGAAAGTTTTTTTCCAGATAGCTCATATGCCACAGCTCCCTGATGGGCTCACATTCTTTGTCTGCATTCCTAAGAGTTCAGGCCAGGTCACCAGAAAGTGACAATGATAGCAATCTTAAATTTGGCTTTTCTTCCTTTCATTTCCCTTCTATTTTCTCTCCTTTATCCCGTCTTTCTCATTCCACCCCCACTCTCTGTGTGTGTATGTGTGTGTATGTATGTGCATGTATGTGTATTGTGTGTATGTGTGTTGAGACAGGGTCTCATGTAGCTCAGGCTGTCCTTAAATTCTCTATGTAGCTGGAAGGTGATCTAGAACTTCTGCTCTTCCTGTCTCCATCATCACAGGACTGTGGCCATCAGCACTCCTGGCATTTTGGCTTATTTCATAGAGTCAGTGTCAGCTCTTCAGAGTTCTCCCCACCTTCATTTCAAGCTCAGCACAAACAAGAGTGAAATATTCGAGGCATCTCCAGAGAAAGATCCTTCTGGGTGTACCTTGACTGGCAGACCAGGTTTGGAAAGTCAGCTTTACAGGTCTGGCCACGTTCAAAGACTTGATGATGACATAATGGCTGCAAGGTTTTTAATGATCACCGTGTGCAGTCCCTTCCACCTCCAGGGCACAGATACAGAGGTCCAATTAGGATGGCAGGAATAGGGTGCTCAGTGTCCCTGTTACCTGGAACTGTCTCAGGGCTGTACTGAAACTCTCCAGCCTGAGTAGAGCAAACCACTGGCCACCCCATTGGAGCGGGGAACAGAATGAGGTCAGAATTGGCTGGGATCCCTGGGATTGATCCCCAGCACGGCATAAACTGGGCATGGTGGCCCAGGCCTATTATTTCAGCACTCAGGAGTGAGGGAAGCAGGAGGACCAGAGACTCAGGGTCATCTTCAGCTCTATAGAGAATTCTAGACCAGGGCCTACAAGATGCTTAGTGGGTAAAGGTGCTTGCTGCTAAGCCTGATGAGTTCTAGCCCCATAAACTATATGGTAGAGGGAGAGAACCAGCTCTCAAAACTTGTCCTTTGTCCACATGGGTGTTGTGACAGAAAGGTGAGGGTGGAGAGAGAGAGAGATATACCAAAATAAAAAAAAATGAATTCGAGGCAAGCCTGGGAGATACATGAGACACTGTGTCAAAAGCTAAAACAAACAAACACACTTACACGTGTAGGGCCCTGTCTTGCCCTGTCCACCTTTCTCTCTGCCTTGCTTCCATCCCCCTAAGTGGTGATGACTTATACCCCTAATATCCTTCCAGACAGGAAAGCTGAAGCGGTACTTCACTGATCTGGAGGCCTTGGCCATGGTCACTGCTGCCTTCTGTCATGACATCGACCACAGAGGCACGAACAACCTCTACCAGATGAAGTGAGTCAGCTCTTCCACCCACCCCCACTCCCCGGGTTTCTGTCTCTCTTCTCTTCCCCTCACCCCACCAGATTCATTACCCAGATAGACACTATCCCTAGACTGACTTACCAGGGAAGGGTCCCACTGTCCGTAGCCTCCCACTTTCCTTGCACCGAGGATTTAGGCCCAGTCATTCCAAATCCAGGAGCCTGGGAATGTTGACTGAATCCTAAAAGGGACTTTTCAGTTGTGGTTGAGTCAAGAAGCTTGGGCTATGAACTAGGCTGAGGTGCAGGGCTTCTGCAAGTCCCAAGGTTCCTGGTGAGGAGGAGCCAGGAAGTTAGGAAAAGATAAGATTCTATCTGCTGTCTGTGAAGATGTCAAAAGGGCCTAGCAGCAAGGGATGTAAGTGGAGTCTAGGAGATGGGAAAGACACGGAGACAGACACTCCCTTGAAGGGCCTCAGGAGGAGAGCACCCTGGGACCCGCATTAGCTATCTGAGCTCCAGAGCTGAGAGGAGGTACACTGTACTGTTTTACACCACTAAGTCAGTGATAGTTTGTTATTGTAGCAGCGGACATTAAAACTTCATACTCTGACTCTTTCTCCTTCCCTGTCTTATGTGTGGAATTAGTTTGAGTCAACATGTTAATAACTGTAAAAATTCATTCATCCTTGCATTTGTAATGTTCCTGATGAAGGGTTATGAGCTGCATTGCATTAAAAAAAAAAAAAAAGACAGCCCCGTTCCAATCAGGTTTATATTCCAGTTGGCCTCTGAGGCGTTGTCCTTGAAGCACGGTCTCTTTGAAACCATGCTTTGAGCTGTGAAGACCATGACAAAAGTCAGCTTGCAGGAGAAAAGGGTTTAATTCATCCACAGCTTATAGCCCATCACGGAGGGAAGTCGGGGCAGGAGCTTCAAGGCAGGAACTTGGAGGCAAGAACTGAAGCTGAGGCCATGGAAGGGTGCTGCTTACTGGCTTGCTTCTCAGGCTTTCATTCAGGACAACTTTTCTCATATCTCCCAGGACCACCTGCCTAGGGACAGCACTAGCCCCCTGTGGCTGGGTCCTTCCACAGCAATCATTAATGAAGAAAATGCCCCCACAGGCTTGCCTACAGGCCAATCTAAAAGAAGCATTTTCTCAGTTGTCGTTACCTCTTCCCAGAGGTAACCACAAATTTGTCAAATTGAGTTAAAAAAAAAACAAACAACAAACAACAACAACAACAAAACAAAACTAAGGAGCTCACTCATATTACATGAGAACACTGAGACGCCAATCAGGCCCATGGCATATGAGACAGTCTGAGCCAGAATTCATGCTTCCCACATCTTCTCACTGGCCTAGGCTGCTGCAAGGATCGTGTTACATTTACCGTGGGACGCTGAGCACTAGTCATAGCATTGTAAGTGTTCAACAAATATTTACTGAATTAAAAAAGAAAGAAAGAAAGAAGGAACAAACATTTCTTTCTCGTGAAAATTCAATGACTTCCCCTAAAGCTCGGCCATCTCCTGTGTGCGTGTGTGTATGTGAGTATGTGTGTTTGTGTGGTGTGTGTGTGTGTGTCTGTTCATCCAGGGTAGACAGCTCTCTAAAACAGCGTGGCTTTGCACATGCACATGCCCTTTCCAGGATAACAATGTCCAAAGAGTCCATGACCCACAAAAGGCTCTCAGTCACTTCTGAAGAAGGGTAAAGCCAAAGTTAGGACATTTGACATCGGCTCCTCATCTTCCACCATTTCATTATTTTGTGCAAGGCCCTTCCTGCTCCTTCTCCTTCAGCACCTGCCTAAGGAATTAGGAGATGGCAGGACTAAATTATAATGTCTTTAGTCTCCATCTTGGCCATTCTATGTTGATATTCATATTCATTCTCTCTCTCTCCCCTCCCCTCTTCCTCTCTCTCCCCTCTTTCCTTATTTAGGTCACAGAACCCCCTGGCCAAGCTCCATGGGTCCTCCATTTTGGAAAGGCACCATTTGGAGTTTGGCAAAACACTGCTGAGAGATGAGGTAGGGTGACCCCCATCTCACGGGAAGCCTCCATGAGCACAGGCAGCCTTGCCAGTGGCCGAGGCTGTCATTGTCTGTCATCATTTAAGGTGGCTACTGGAAGAAGAGTGACTTTGCACCACTTCTCAAAACTTGTCTAATTCTTTTCTTTAGAGCTTGAATATCTTCCAGAACCTGAATCGCCGCCAGCACGAGCATGCAATACACATGATGGACATTGCAATTATTGCCACAGACCTTGCTCTGTATTTCAAGTAGGTATTTCTCCTCGCTTTAATATTAGCAATGATTATAGTAGTGAATGCCTTAGTTTCTGTTGATCTTTGTTCTATGTTAGGTCCAATACATCATCTCTGTAAGGCAGAAGTTCTTACACCCATTCTACAGGGAAACATATTTGCTAAAATAAAATAGATCAGTGCTCTCTAGTCTAGAACATAGTCTTTATTCCAAGGCCATAGTTTTTCCCATGTTGTGCAGTTAACTATGTAAATTTAATAACTTCCCCATCTGGAACAGCCCATGTTAGCAGCCCAGCTGTTGCCTCATTCTCTTTTGGGGGTTGGTGGAGAGAGGTAGGGGTTTGAGACAGGATTTCTCTGTGTAGCTGTCCTGGCTGTCCTGGAACTCACTCTGTAGACCAGGCTGACCTCAAACTCAGAGATCTGCCTGCCTCTGCCTCCAAAGTGCTGGGATTAAAAGGCATGCGCCGCCACACCCGGCTCTGTTGCCTCATTCTCATACTTGACCTACTCTTTCAGGAAAAGGACCATGTTCCAAAAGATTGTGGATCAGTCAAAGACGTATGAGACCGAGCAGGAGTGGACCCAGTACATGATGCTGGAGCAGACGCGGAAGGAGATTGTTATGTGAGTGAAGGCAGAGTCGACACTCAGCGGCCTGGGGTCCAGACAGTGGAGGCTTTGGTCTCTCAGATTTGAATGCAGGAAGCTGTGGCACAAGTTGTGACCTATGCTTAACTCTTATTTTAGCACTGAAAACTCAAGACAATATATTATTATTATTATTTTATATATCTGCATACAAAATACATTCCAGTGATGAAATCTGGGATTTGAGGAGCAGAGTGATGCAGTGTTCAAATGTTGAACAAAATATGTACTAATGATACAGTGCAAGTGCAAGGACCTGAGTTTAATTCCCAGAAACTAGTTTTAAAAAGCCTGATGTAGTGGAGCATCTAGCACGGGGGAGTTGGAGATTGTGGATATCCCTGGCCGGCCAGCCTTTCCTTGTTGATCTCAAGGCCCAATGAGCGACCAGATCTCAAAAAGCAAGGTAGATTGCTCCTGAAAACAACATTCAAGATTGATCTCTGCCTTCTAGATGCACACACATGCATGTACACACAGACACATGTGCTACACATACATGAACATACATGGACACACAGATGGCACACATCTGTAATTTCAGCACTCCTAATGGTAGATGGGAGGCAGGGACAGGAAAGCCTGGACTATGCAGCCAAGAGATGATTCAGGAAGGTACAAGGCAAGAGATGATTCCTGAAAGGTATTCTCTGACCTCCACACCGGTGCTGTGCCATGCGTGTGTCCCCATTCTGTAGGTGTACTTATTTAAAAACTCTTTTATTTACCTTTCCTTTATCTTTTTTTTCCCTCCTACACCCCAATCTCTTCTAACACCCCAACACCAGGTAGGAGAGAGAAAGGGTTAGTGGGGGAAGGGGCACAGTTCTCTTAGCTGCTTCCTGCTGGTTAGGATTGTCAGGTTCCTTGGAGCCAGTCCAATCCTCATTTCAGGAGAGCTCCAACTACTTGTCTTACAACAGCAACCAGAAGCACCAAGGGGGTGGGGAGCAGGAACAACCTAGTTCTTTCTCCAAGCCCACACTCTCTGGGCTCCAGCATTTATTCTCTCTCCAGAGTCCTCGGATTTAAACTATCTGCAGCTGGCAAAGAGCTCCTCTCAGAGCCCACACGAGGTAGTCTGTTGCTTCGGACCCTCTGAATCAGTCCCACATCCCACACCTGGGACCAAAACAAAACCATTATGTAGCCACACTACCACTCTTCCCCTTCACAGAACAGTCAGAAAATCCTGAAACAGGAGAATAATACAGCAGTTCATTCTTAGACATGAGTAGGTGCTGAAATCAATGGGGCAGTTCTACTTTGAAGGACTACATGTTCTAAAAGGGATTTGCTATCAGTAGAGAAAGGCAAACATTCGTACAGGGCCTTGGGAAGACAGGGTAGCTGTAAAGTTAGACTCCTGTCTCACTCTGATATATAACGCTGTCTTACTTTAATATACATCAAAGTAAATTCCAGATAAGCCATGATTTTTTAAATAATGGGGTGGAGGCAGTAATGGGAAAATTAAAAGGAATAATTTCAGAATAAATTCTACTAAGTGCGACCTGACACTCGTAAGCTATAAAAATGATTGGATAAATTTGACTATTTGAAAATTAAGAATCTCTGCCATGACACACACATGCCCAACAAAGCCAAAGACAATTCAAATGACCCAGCTGAGGGAACACATTCATAATACTTCTAACAGAAAAGCAGCCAATTTCCTCAGTAAATGTTAATACAATTTAGGAAAAAGGCTAAGTCAACAGGAAAAGGACAAAAGGCAGACACACACATACACACACACACAGATGCTTGCCAGAAAAAGGAATCACAGTGGGCTACAAATGAAGACAATGGAGCACACACATCATAACGAGAGAAGTATGAAACAGAACTGCAACGAGAGGCAAAGATGAAAAGGTTAGATCACTGTGTTGGCCAAGAGTGAGGGGGCGCCATCCATTTACCACGCGGGAGGGTGAATAATAGGTGTAATCTTTACGGAAGACAGTCAGGCACCTGTGAAGCTGACCCCAGACTGGAGAGAACACCTTAGCAGTTTTCTGGTTGAGATAAAATTGAGGCTGCAGTCGAGGGGTGGGGACATGCAAGGCAGGGCAGAACAGGTGAGGTCTATTCTAGTCCTGAGATAACTCAAGATACCTTTCCTATTGTCTCAGTGAAAAGCGTGTCTTCCGTTTGTTTCTGTTTTCATTGTGGCTTTGTTTTTGATGGCGCCGGTCTCTTCAACAACCAAATCTTCCTTGTCCACAGGTTTCGGTTAATTCCTTTTCTGGCCAGTTTGCACATTTTCCAATCCTTCTGTATTTTTTTTTTGTTGTTGTTGCTGTTCCCAATTCTCACTTTCAACCTGTATAAAAAAAGTGCACGGCAAGGGGCTGGAGAGATGGCTCAGCAGTGAAGAGCACTGACTGCTCTTCCAAAGGACCTGGGTTCAATTCCCAGCACCCACATGGCAGCTTACAACTATCTATAACTCTAGGATCTAACACTCTCACACAGACATATATGCAAACAAAACACCAATGTACATTAAAAAAAAAGTGTCCAGCAATATCTATGCCATGGGCTGAATACCATGTATGCTCTCTTGAAATTTCCTTCACCAAATTAATTAGACTTTTAAATTCAACCTCAATCTCAGAACACAAAACACACACAAAGTATTTGTCAGACAGAATGCCGATGACTTATAATCCAATTTCGAATAGAGTCCTCGCTTGTACCTGAAAGCTTGTGAGACTGCCTGTACCATCCATGCTTTTATCAGCATTGTGGTCTTCTGAGTAAGCATTGATTAGAATCACCCACTGTGCTTGGCTGACCTAATCCTAGGCTTGCTATGCTGCTTGTCCAAACTCAAATGTCTCTCAAAAAAAACCATCCCAGAGGCTTAAGAGTGACATTTTCAGGTAGTCACAATAATCATGCCCTCACTCCTGGCACCAATTTTTCTGTTCTAGTTTTCTCTTGTGAGGCTTTGACCAAAACCAGCTGAGAGAACAATCTAAAGGCAAGAAGAGTATGGCTTTAATCCCAGACTTGGGAGGCAGAGATGGGATTGTAGCTAGTTCAAGGTCAGTCTGGGCTATTTAATGAATTGAAGCAAGCCTAGCTAGATAGCAAGCACCAAAAAGGAGGTGTTCTGCATGAGGTTTCTTGCTCAGCCCCAGGCACTTGGGCAGAACACTATGGCAGTGGGAAGGTGTGACAGAGAGGCTTCTTCATGTCACAGAAGACAGGAAGCAGTGAGAGGGAATGGGTGAGACTCTGAGCATGGCACAGCTCCCAAGGACACAAACAATGACCTTTTTCCTCCACCTCCTAATGTTTCCAGAACTTTCTAAACAGGACCACCACCTAGGGACCCAGCAGTCACCATAAGACCTTATGAGGGACACTTCCTATCCAAACTGTGACATTGTCAGAATCGCACCCACCACTGCTCTGGCCCAGCAGCCCCACCTCTGAGATTTCTTCACCAAACATTCTCCCTTGTGTGTGTACCAAAGGGTGTATCAAAGTCATTGTCACGCAATCTCTAGTCATGGAGAAAACAGAAAACAACTTACACTCCCACCATTTAGAACCCACGTTACAAAGTTAAGGTACTTTCATACTGACACCTTGTATCAAATAGACTTTGCAAAGAAATGTTGTATCAAAGACATGTTTAGTTAAACAAGCAAAAATCATGGACAGGACTTTTGTTATTGTAAAAGCCTGGCAGTCTAACAAGCAGGTTCCAGACTGAGTCCTCATCTCCTCCAGAGAACCCAATGCGTCCCAAGGCATGTCTGGGCCCCGTGATCGGTGTTCTCTTTCATAATACTAATCTTCCTGAAAACAGCAGAGGCTTAGGAGGCAAGGCATACCCACCCTTCTCCCAGTTTACAAAGAAAAGGCACATTTTTCCCTTCCTTGATCTGCCTACAGCACTTTGGCTCAGGTGCAAGATTCTCTAGGCCACAGAACAGAGCAACTACTTGAATATGGACGTGTTACGAACATGTGTCTTCAAAGCCCCTTCTGATTGATGTGTTACACGCCTGAGCAAGGGCTGCAGGTCTTCTGTCCATATATTCTGATGAAAACGTGCTTTCGTCTATATTCTCACAAAAGATTCTGCTGAGACGGGGTGTGCAGTTTTATTTTTTTCTTTTTCTTTGTGGTTCCCTTGGGCGTTTTACAATCCATTCACCACTGAAGTTAGGGTCAAACCCAAAAAATAAGGGCTCATTCCTGTGAGATTTGCTACTTGCTGTCTCTCTCTGTCTCTGTCTCACCTTCTCCCTGTGTCTCTCTGTCTGTCTCTCACTCTTTGTCTCTCTGCTGGACATGAAACCCAGGTTCTTGGCACATGCTGAGGTGAGTCTTCCACCTAAGAGCTACAAACGCCCTTCCCCCTCCCTGCTGTGCACTAACCAATTGCACCACTGGGGCATTCTCCTGCCTTCATTTCTGATGAAAATCACATGTCTAGGCTTCTCATATTTCTCACAAACATGAGTCAGGCATCCTCATGACTTCCTCCTCAATTTCTATGATTTGCATAGTAGCCCATAGAACTCTGGGCAATATCTCACATTTACCAGTTTATGTTACAGGATGGAATGGCTGTAGACAGCCAGATGGTGAGTACATAGGAGCAGTCTGGAGACAAGTACCCCCTTGGCATATGGGTATCTGCTAGCCTGGAACCCATCCTGCAGCTGCTCAAAACGTTTTTTGTTTTTTGGTTTTTTTTTTAGTCATTTTTTTATTTATTTATGTATTTATTTGTTTGTTTATTTTCAGATACAGAGTCTCACTATGTAGCCCTAGCTAGCCCAGATCTTGCTATTCAGACTAAGCTTGCCATGTTGGAACTTACGGAATTGACCTGCCTCTGCCTCCAGAGAGCTGAAATTAAAGGCATGTAGCCTGGCTCAAAAGTTTATAGTTCAATCTCCAGCCAGACTTGCCCAGAGTCAGTAAACAGGAATGATGTATCGAATCCT